AATAGATGCATCTACAACACGTCTGCAGCAATTTTTTTTCCCAGCAGGGGTTTTCAAAACGTTGTGTGTGTACACACACACACACATATACATACAAATATATATATCATATATATAATATATATAATATATATATATATATATTATATATATTATAATATATATATACATATATATATATATATATATATATATATATATATATATTATAATATATATATATATATATATATATAATACATATATATATTATATATTTTATATATGTATATATTATATATATATATATATATTATATATATATATATATATACATATATATATATTATATATATATATATATATATATATATATATATATATATATATATGTATGTATAGTATATATGTATATATGTATGTCATTGCATATCCTTATATACATAAAGTAAACCTATTTTACGCACGCCTGCTTCCATACAGTCCAACGCCCATTTCCGCAGCGGGCGATTCCTGCGCGGTCCCTCGCCGTCCCCGCACAGGAGCGACGACCCGAGGGCCTCCGGAGCGCGAGGCTGTGGCTATAATTGATGTGATTTTTGTTCTCTGCAGCAGATGATGTGCAGAGGCGGCGACGGAACATCTGGTCGAGAAGGGGTCGCGGTCGCCATGGCAACCCGATGAGGGGGAGGTGAGGGGGGGGGAGAGAGCAGGAAGGCACATCAGGGCGATCACCGGGAGGAATGCGAAATTGTTGTTGCGGTGAAGCCCGGCCGTGATTGTGAGGCTGATGGTGAAGATAAAGGGGGTGGGGGGTCTTACGGCGTCGGGGGGGGGGAGCTATTTTGGAAGGGTCTTTTTTAGAACGGTTAAGTTAGGAGAAAAAAATGAAAGAACTCGTGAGCTTAGGATGGTTGCCATGGGAATTCTGGGATCACTTCGGTAAAAGCGAGGCAAAAAAAGAGGGAAGCGGGATCGAGTGAGTTCGTTAAACGTGCAGTGAAATGTATAAATAGCTCGATGGAGGTTGAGCTTCCGAGCTGCTTAGGAAGGCTGGAGCGAGTGCGGCCTCTGCAGGAGGGGCCGCTGCGAGGGCCTCGGCGCAGGCATATGGAAAGGTCAGCTGGACGAGCGTCCGCGTGGGAGCCCCGTGAATGAAGAGAATGAAGCGAGTGAAGCGAGAGAGGCGTCGGGCGGCCGTGCGAGGTGGCCCTTGGCGGAGGCGGCGAGGCAGGAGGCCAGCGAGCCTCGCGGAGACAGGCAGGGGCGCGGAGGGCGAGGCCGGGCGCGCGAGGGCGGCGGAACAGGTGTGAGGAAGGAACAGGTGTGGTGGAACAGGTGGGGGCTGGTGCGCGGCGGGCGGGCGCGGGCGGGCGGCCGTGGCGCAGGGCGGGCGGCGAGCGTGCGCGGGGCGGGCGCGAGCGTGACGTCTCAGTGTGCCTGGCGAGTGTCGGGCGGCAGGTCGCTAGCGGTGCCTGAGAGAGGGAAGTGAGTGCCGCTCGGTCCGCGCCATGCCGTCCCAATGATGGCGGTGCGGGCGCCACGTTATGGCCGTGCGCCGTCCATGCTTGCGAGCGGCCCCATCTTCAGGCCACGAGAGCGCGGCTCCTGCTGCGTGTGAGACACCTGCTGCGTCCCGGCGGAGCCAGGCGGCCCTGAGGCCGTCCGCTGTCCTCCAGCTCCCTCGGCCCCGCCACCTGCTGCGGCTGGCCCTCGCGGCTCCCCTCGGCCCACGCCCCTCGGACGGCCCCTCCGCGACGCCCCTGCTGGCCCTGCTGACGCTGCTGGCGACCCTCCTGGCGGCGGCGGCGCCCCCCCTCGCAGTGCTGGTGTCAGGCGTGGCTCTCGTCGTGGTGGTGGATGTGTTCACGGACGCAGAGGCGAGCCTCCGGCGGCGTGCGACCTCCCTGCTGACCCGTGTTGGCGTCGTGTTGTTCGCCCAGTGGGCGCTGCGGGCGTGCTGCTCGCTCCTGACCTGTGTGCTGCTGCCCCACCCGGACCCTTACTCGGTGGCCAAAGCAGCAGGCTCTTCTCTCCTCCCCGGACCTGTATGTGCTGACCAGCAGCTCCTTGAACCGCCCACAGAGATCCTGGTCCTGTGGGTGGCGCTGCAGGTGGCAAGTGCGCGCACAAGACCACGGGCGTCGGGTAGCGTGGGCACCCTCGTCGGGCCCTCGGCCGCGCGCCCGTTCCTGTCCCACCTGTTGGGCGGCGTCTGTGCCCTGGTGGGCGGGCCCCGTCGGCCGTCTCCCAACGCCCCCCTCAACGCACACACGTGTCGCGACGGGCGTGTGCCGGACCTGAACAGCCCCTGTTGCGACGGAAGCGCCAGCAGCGTGGCGTCCCCACAGCATCCCGTCAAGATGAGGAGGACATCGCTCCCCGCCATCTCCGTGCAGCGGCCGACGTCGTCCCAGGTAAGTCGTCGCTCGCGGCGCGCACGCTCCCTGGCGCCGTCGCCCGGTAACTAGATCTAACTGGATAGGTCACCTCTTCATACACTCCTTGATCTCGTGGCCGGGCCTTAGCAAACGCGAACTTGCGTTTTCCGAAAGGTGGACAATACTAGGCCACGCAATTTGCAACATGATCCCTCATCAACATGCGTCCCTATTGTGCCCGCCAATCATGCAG